ACCTTTAAAATGGAGGCCATGATAATAATGTCTACCTCAGTCATGCTGCGAGGATTAAATGAGTAACTCTACGTAAGTGTTGTGCATCACTCACTGACAGTATTCCAATGGCTCTCACTGAACTGGAGTGTGTGAATGCACCCGCATTCTGGAAACGGCTCCTCCCTCAAGATGGTGCTGGGGCTAGAAGTCAGGAGGACCTCGTAGTGCTGCACCCTACGGCACTGTTATGTCTACCTTGAGGGCCCTCAACCGCCCCTTTCTAAGCCCCACTTTGAAGCCCCAGCCCCCGGCAGCCAGAGTCACACAGCCAGCTGTCCTGGTCTCCCCACCCCCGACATCTGCGAGCTTGGATGGGGCGAGCCAGTCCTGACTCTCACTCCAGCTCCCAGCGCGGTGCCCAGAAGTGAAATAAAGGAATAAACACATGATGGGAGAGAGGCATATGAGTGCTGGGGCCAGGATCTCGAGGGTCACTTCCAAGGGGCTTTGGAGCCTCTGGGGCTGGCTCCCAGGCAGGATCTGCAGTGGTTGCTAGGCAGGGCGGGCAGCTAGAGCCAGGTCCTAGGCTAGGGCTGTCACTGATTCCAGGGCCGGTCTTTGGCCTGACACCCAGCAGATGCCTAGCTGGACTTTTCTTCCAAGTCCTCTCAGGAAGCTGGTAGCCCTGAGAAGCAATTCGAATTTCAAGCCAAGTGACCCTCCTTAAAGCAGCTGGCTTTGAAACCTGCATAATTATTAGAGAATACCCCTGTACCAAAGGCCCACAATGTGCCAGGCACTCTGCTTGTGATATCTCCAGCTTTCAAAGGGAGCTTTTGAAGGTGAAGTGACTTGCCTAAGATCACACTGCTAGCATGTGGCTGAGAATCCAGCAAAGCCAGTACTCTTATTAGAGGCCCATTCCCTTACCTACCTTAGATCTAGGAGGAAACAGAAGCTCAGAGAGGACAAATCCCTTGTCTAGGCCACACAGCCATTAGCTTTAGAGCTGAGATTTGGGGGGCTGCCAGAGCCATGTAGGGCAGCAGTCTCCAACCTTTTTGGCATTAGGGCTCGGTTTCACGGAAGACAATTTTCCCAAGGACCTGGGGGAGAAGATCACCAGGCATTGGATTTTTAAGGAGTGTGCAACGTGGGTTCCTCGCATGCGCAGTTCACATCAGGGTTCATGCTCCTATGAGAATCTAATGTGGCTACTGATCTGACAAGAGCTCTGATCCCCACTGCTCACCTCCTGCTGTGTAGCCCGGTTCCCAACAGGTTATAGACCAGTACTGGTCTGTGGTGTGGGGCTTGAGGACTCCTGATGTAGGAGACTGAGCTTGCAACCAGGCACGGTGGCCCATTCCGATAATCCCAGCACTTTGGGAGGCCAAGGCAGGAGGATCACTTGAGCCCAGGAGTTCGAGACCAGCCTGGGCAACATAGCAAGACCTCCTCTCTACAAGAAATCAAAAATATTAGCTGGGCATGGTGGTGTGCACCTGTAGTCCCAGCTACTCGGGAGGCTGAGGCTAAAGGATCGCCTGAGCCCAGGAGGTAGAGGCTGGGGTGAGCCATGATCTTGCCGCTATACTCCAGCGAGACCCTGACTCAAAAAGAAAAAAAAAAAGAGTCTGAGACTGAGGGCTATGGTTTCCTCCCATCACCCACCTGCCCTCCCTACTCCCATCCTCTCTTCTGACATTTGACATTATCCATCACTCCCTCCCCCTGGGAACGCCCTCCTCCTCCAGTTTCCATGGCAGCACATCCATCCTCCTCCTGCTTCTCCAGCTGCTTCTCCTTCTCCACGTGGCTCCTGAGCCCAGGAGGCAGGGGTTCCCCAAACCGGGTCTCCAGTCTCTCTCTTCACCACTACCCCTGAAAGCTCGTCCTGTAGAATTCTATTTCTGACCTTGTGCCTCCAACACCACTTTTGTTTTTCAGAGACAGGGCCTCACTCTGCCACCCAGGCAGGAGTGTAGTGATGAGATCATAGCTCACTGCAGCCTCGACCTCCTGGGCTCAACCAATCCACCTCAGCCTCCCGAGTAGCTGGAACTACAGGCTTGCAATAGCATGCCTGGCTAACTTTCTACAAAAATTTTGTAGCAGCAGGGTCTCACTGTGTTACTCAGGCTGGTCTCCAGCTCCTGGCCTCAGGTGATCCTCACACCTCAGCCTCACAAAGTGTTGGAATTACAGGCATGAGCCACCTTGCCCAGTCCAGCTTCCCGTCTAAGAAATAACTGCCACTTAACATGCACTTAGAGCAGCCGGGCTCAGCCTGTAATCCCGCGCCTTTGGGAGGCTGAGGTGAGTGGATTGCCTGAGCCCGCGGGTTCGAGACTCGCCTGGGCAGCGAGACCTCATCTCTACAATAAATAAAAAAATCAACCGGGCGTGGTAGCACATGCCTGTAATTCCGGCTACTCGGAAGGCTGAGGCGGAAGGATCACTGGAGCCCAACAGGTTGAGGCTGCGGTGACTGGAAGCGGCCACTGCACTCCAGTCTGGGCGACAGAGTGAGACTCCAACTCAAAAAAAAAACAAAAAAACATGCACTTAGAGCTTACTGATGAGCTGGCCCTAAACCTATCCAAGCATTAAATCCTCACAACCATCCATGAAAGAATTCCACTCCACAGAGGAGGAAGCTGAGGCTGAGCGAGGGAAAGCCAAGATCTGACTCCAGCCTTAAACACGACTTCATCAGGAGATATGAAAATGCAGGACATTTTAAAACCAGGGACAAAAATTTCCCTCCCTCTTCCTGGAGAGAGAAATGGAAATTTTGGGAGAAACAGACCTACTCTGCAGTTTTAAGAACCTATGATGATCTAGAATTACACTGTCAATTTAGACCTTTAAAATACATCAAGCTCAGTACATTTTGAAACGTGCAGATTTGGAGAGCTTCAAGAGCAACAAAAGTTCATGGAAAATTGCCCCTTTCCTTTAGATTTTTCCATTTGGTTTTAAGTCTTCAAAAGCCTCGTCCTAGGGTTCTGGCTGCTAAGACCTTTCTGCTTTAGTGATACCTGGAATTCCCTAGAAACTTGGAACCTGGAATTCCACGGACTGAGTTCAGCCACCAGTAACAGGTTCTGTGACCCAGGAGCAAGTGGCCAACTTCTCTAAGCCTCAGCTTTCTTGTCTAAAATGGGAATACTGCCAGGCTCGGTGGCTCAGCCTGTAATCCCGCGCCTTTGGGAGGCTGAGGTGAGTGGATTGCCTGAGCCCGTGGGTTCGAGACCCGCCTGGGCAGCGAGACCTCATCTCTACAATAAATCAAAAAATCAGCCGGGCGTGGTAGCGCATGCCTGTAGTTCCGGCTACTCGGAAGGCTGAGGCGGAAGGATCGCTGGAGCCCAGCAGGTCGAGGCTGCGGTGGCCGGGAGCGGCCAAA